TGTCCCGGCAGCTCTAGTGGAATCCCGACCCGACTTGGCTTGTGGACAGTTGTGCACTTATTTAAACATTTCTTTAAGTCTATTGCACATAACATCAACCGGTGGTTTGGGACGCATAGAAACTTCTGGATCGTGTTGTGCGGGGAAACTGGAATTTGTTTCACGGCATTTAATCCTGTTTGGATTAAGAGATTAGAATTAACGCAATAACTACAAAATTGTACATTTTTTTAAATGTCTAAATCTTTCACATTACGAGAAAAATATGGGTTATTTAATACTCCGCCATTACTTCTATTATAAATTACAATGTTGCTATGACGTCACTAGTAGGTTGATCAAATGTGTCTATATTTTCGTGCGAGTAGATACATTTGACATCATAGTTACACGAAACTAAATTATAATACGAATGTGGGAAATATTTTGATTTCGGAATGCCGACAAATTTTAAACAAAGATAGCCAGTGTATGAAAATCAGCTGCTTTTCTCCATTTGCCTTAAACTACAATGTAGTAGATATATAATTTCTGCCACCACTACGACACCTCGTCGAATGAATGTTTGTTTGTTTGCAACTTTCACAATTTCCCCCCTTACATTGCTGTTTTAATATTACAGGGTGGAGAAATCGGTGCAAGGGGTTTATCAGAACCACGAACACAAAACATTTTTAAGTATTTGGGATGTGTCATTTTGCCTGCAATTATATGATATGTGATACACATCTCTGCTCCCCGCCTTTCACCCTCCGAGAATGCGTAGTCATCCCATATTTATTCGGTCGGGCGATGAAGTCTTTAATTTCGACAAGATAGCTCAGCGTAGAGAAGCAAATACGGTGATATGAGGGCTACCACTACGGCCAATCGTGGCTGATATGGTACAAGGTGTTGCATTTACTGATAACCCACGTTATCTCATTAGCTTATCAATGGTTTTCACACCTTGGCCATTGTCGGACTCCTCGTAGCCATACTCACTCTGAGCACGTACTAATTGAAATCGCTAACGCTTGATAAATTGGTTTCATTATGTGTGCCCGTGGATTAAATCACCATGCCCACACAGGTATTTTGCCCTCGTTTCCTTGGATCGCTTCCAATGTGGTACGCCACGATGTAGTATAAATCGCACCACTGTTACGCTTATAAGTGCCTAGAAGCTGGACCAGTCAGAAGATAATTGGTTTTTGGCGGCGTTTAATGAGACTGCAGTCAGCGCCGTAATGTGCGTATATTACGACGCTACATCACTGAAATGCACAACACGTACATATACCATTGTGAATGTCAATGTTGACTTAAATAAACCTACGCCGAATTGTTCAATTCTATATACATGTCTAATGGTACTAATCTGGGGCATTTTCTTAACAAATATCATAGGTGTAAACTGCAATGTAACGGTCGATCCTGGCGATCAACAACCCCGGCCAATCGACGCATTCACCTTGCACTTCATACCATCTATCACTGCCTATTTTAATGACAGCAACGGGATTATACCCACAATTCAGTTGTCAGTCACGATTTCCAACTCACCCGGTGTGATTCATTGGGTGAGTAAAAAAAAAAAAACGTTTGTTCTAGACAAACACGTCGCTCCTCAAATCACGACAATCTCATGTGCAGGTGCAGATCAAGACACCCTTCAAGTTATAGATTAGGATTATAAAATCATTACACGGCGGTCATTAACTGTTTTCTTATCGTGTACTTGGTAATAATTAGTGAGATATGTCGATTATTTGCCGATTCATCATATCCGAAATCAGAGTAATACAATCTGACGAGCACGCTGGATAATCCACCATCCCGACGGAAATATACGGTTGTCACGTACGGAGAAACCAATAAATCTTTTATAGTTTTGTCCAAATTTCAGACTTGAGATATTTAAAGTTCACATTTTGAATGAAGTTTATCTCAACCCTAATATCGTGACAAATTATGACAGCTGTATCAACGAAAATGTGAACAATAGTTCAACTTGAATAGCAATTGCTTCACGAACTCTAACACATTTTAAACTTTGGCCGGTCACTTGTAGCATAGTAGTTGTTGAATCAGACTCCTGGTCGGTATACACAAGTTCAAATCCTACTTTAGGCTGAACATCAAAAAGGGTTGACCCCCTACCCTGGGTAAGTGTGCCACAGACTCAATGATGGCCGATTCCACTGGCAGAGGTTCATTCACTCAAGGTCTACAAGTGCTTATGTTCGACCGGGCCTAGTTGACGCCAGGATAGCGCATTAAATCGCCATTTAAAATTTTGATAGAGAGATGGTCACACAGCCCTGTCATGTAGTCCCAAACATGAATATGACTTCTGCGGCAAAATGCACTATGTGTCAGCACTAGCACTTGTCGTTTGCACATACAAAAAGTCGAGTAAGACAGCACTGACATTCAATGGGAACTGTTGCCTCGCACAAACACATTATTAAAAAAAGCTTTGGAAATATGGGTTGTTTAAAATATGACTTAATCATTAATTTGTTTCTATATCTGTAATTCAAAACAAATCAAGGTCATAGGTCATAGCTAACAGCATGTACGTAGTGGAGTCCCATTGATTGGCAGTTGACCTATAAATGAAAATTCAGGCCTTCTCTTGTTATTAATTTTTGATAAAACGTATTCCTTTATAAAAAAAAGTACATATCTATCCGAAAATATTAACACATATTATTATGCTGATTTTTTTTACATTACACCTCAGCTCGCCTATTAGGCAGTGCACACAATCGTCACATTGGTACGATTTAAGCGTATCGCCGCATTACAAAACATCTGATTGGACGGTATAACTTTCTGTCGAAAATTAGATTTAAAGTTGTATTTCCATTTTGTATAATCTACAGAAAACCTCCCAGCGACCCCTGTGATCATCATAAGGGCTTTGAGTTTGAGGTTTTCATTCTATCCAACTTAATTTAAAAGACTCCCCTAAAACAAAGTTAAGTGGCCTTGAGAGGTTACAGAAAGTGTGTATGATTTGTTGATTAAACACTTCAGTACAGGCTAGCTTCAGTGATCCAACACTTGGATTTGTTGCCAAAACAACTGATTTTATAAATTTTTGCACCTTTTAGCATACATTATATCGGTGAAAAACAAGACTGAATGTTTTTTCTAAAGTCGTGAATTCTAACCTTAATAGGTTACAAGTTTTAACCACGTACAATAAGCAAACTAATAATTTCTGAATAGTGCTCAATTTCAGTATTTGTCAGATCACTACAAAATAAAACTGGGATTAGAATACCTGAACATAGTGCAAAGTTGTTACATGCAAACATGTGTACCTGATTCTCAATTCTTTTCACAATAAATGCTTACATCGAGTCCTGTGCGTAAGGCAACCAGTCTAACCGAGGAAATATACAAATAAATAACGATCACAACGGTAGAAAATATAACTGCGTTTGTAATTGTTTTATTCAATTTTATCAATTCTTCATTACGATTATAGCTATTTCGCCAGTCACGTGACACTCACGTGTGATACCCGTGACATTACAGAGACAAGAAATACGAACATTATAATCACTTGAAACATACACCGACGAACTTGCACGTCATTAGTAAAAAAAACATTTACACTAAGTTCTACATAATATATTTGTACTCTTTTTGCCGCTAAATATCCTCAATCTACCAGAAATATGTGATTGGTCAATCTAGAGTCATATATTTTGTTCAATGTACTCTTTGAAAAATATATACAATGCCTCTTTGAAGTTGTTGTTTTTTTTTTTGGGGGGGGGGGGTCTGTACACAAATAAAGATTGTCCACTTGCATAAAAAAACAACGCATTTGGAATGTTATAGCTGCGCATACTGTTATTTTGCAGACAACTGATTCGTCGGACGCCAGGACAATAATTTATACAGTTTACTGACCGACATAGTCCTGCTTCGTCATGGTCTTAGTGTTACATGCTGTTTGTTGATAACCAAATAACTTGATCTATGACAAGGTTTTTTATTCAAACTTTTCAAAATCTTTTCGGCAGGAATCGTCAGCGGAGTTTCCGGAAAACACCGAACAGTATAGAATCATGTCGCGAGTGGACATTCGTTTCAAAATTGCGATTTTTTGCAAATTTAATTTGACTTGAAATTGACATGTTCCGCCCTAGATGAAGCGAAGCCTTGTACGCATAAACGTGTGGAGACTTTTAGCCTATGTACTGGGAATGGGTAAACATACGACAAATATCCTGAAGAACAAGCTTGTTTGCTCCTTGCATAATTTATAACAAAACTTAAAAGCAATTTCTAGGAATGGAGCGGAGTGTGTGCACGAGAGGAATCCCAACGCGTGACTGAAAGTGGAAGTGAAATATTGACTCAAACCGAGGAAATAGCAATTAAACGATTATTAACAAGACGATGATTTGACTGAAAACACGCAAGGATGCTAGTGCGTGTCGATTTCTATTTGGACGATGTTAATTTCAGTTTAATTAACAATCGATGCAGGAACACGTAACTATAACAACCATTTTAATTATGTTTGTAAAAGAGAAACACATTATCTAAACATCGACAGGGATATCTTTCATAACACACTACATTTGTTCATTTTATAGAAAATATTGCAGACTTTCGTGTTTCTATTTTAGAAAAAAAAAGTGAAGAAGATCAACATCAACGAACACACAGAGATTAAAATATGTCTATTTAAAGAGGACAAAAGACGACGGAACTATTTTATAGAAACTTATATACATATATACATTGTATGTGTATCTGAGTCAATGGCTATTCTAATAATATGCACCCCCCATGCCACTAAACAGTCACTCCCAGTCATAATACGAAAACACAACCGTAAAGGTATCTAGTAAAGTCAGACTTTAAGTAATTAATAAAGATAAAAATTAAAATACTTATATAAATTATGAATATATTATATATGATTGTTCAATGCGGCGCTCTAAAATATTTAAAAATACGATGTTCTCTGATGGTGCACACGTCATCACAGGGAGGATGTGCGTCGGTTGGAACGGCGTCCTGCAGACAGCATTAATATTGGCAAGGTGCACTGCAAGTGTATGCTCAGTGGTTGTTAGCTAAAAGTGTACACAGTTTTAACAGCCATCACACACACACGTCGGAGAATGTTAAATTCCTTGGCGGAATAAAACAGAAATGATCACGAAGCACATTATGATCAGTTTAATAATAAATGATCAAATACGTTTGTTGAGTTCATTCAGCGAGAGGTGACGCCATGTTTCCAGTGCTATCATTTGTCGAAGACGTACAGACAAAGCGGAGACAGGTTCTATACGAGGCAAACACATAACATGGCGACAGTTACGTCACTTGTTTTCTTCAAAGTGACATCATCACGTACTTCTAATAATTTCTGGACAGTTTTCTGTTGTGATGTAATCACTTTCTACGTTCACGTGACAAAAGTCACTGTTTATCGAACTATTGTATGGACTATCTTGCTCAGTATTGCTGACGTCATCACTGTCCGTTTCCTGGGTGTCCTCTGTATTTTCCACGTCGATTTCAACATCTTTACACGCTGGTGACTCTTTGTCGTGATTGTTGTGTGCGTTTTTTTGGTTTTCCTTGGCTTCTATTGCTTTCTTGCTTCGCTTCCATTTCATACGCCGGTTTTGAAACCAAATTTTCACCTGTAAAACAAGAATAAACAGTCGAAGTTACAAAGATTTTCTTATACTGCTTTGTAAACAAAACTGTTCAACATAATAATGACGAAACTAAAAGCCAAATACGGAAACGTACATACCATATTAGGGCATACGTAACGCATGTGACTCGTTTATGCTCGTTAATAAATGCGCAATAATAATATCCCTGTTTATGCAAAGAAAACAAACTACTAGGACTAATAGGATGCTGTTTAAGCAGACAGAAAACAGTAATTAATCGTACCCCAATTGAGGCTGATATAAATAATAAAAAATCGCAATAAAAGATGATGTAATCGACTATAATAACATGGTATCGTCGAAGCCCAGATATACCTCCATATCAATGCGCCACGCTCGAATAACTCGGTAAATTTTTACTCAATTTTATTATCGTCTGAATAAACCGATCATTTACGATAATTGAAATTTCTAATCAAACTTTGATAAGATCTCTGATGTAAATTACGATATGCGCCATAAAACTTCAATTTTACTCAAAATTACTCGGAAAATCAGCCCGTTACGACTGTTACTACAGAGTGCCGTAAAACTGTTTGCCGCGCCGTAAAGGCGCGAACTGTAATAATGTTCCGAGTCAGACTACTAAAACACCGTTAAATTTAGTGCCGATCGACTTGATGTAACTTTGAATATATAAGCTGAACGATACTGAACGTCTTCTCGCCAGACTAACCGACCGCAGACGAAACGACAACATTTCGGGAAATTCTCTCCCAATCTCGTTACTCGATGACGTCACGGTAATATGTCCTTACCTGTGTTTCTGTTAGCATCAGTGATGTCGCTACTTCAAATCGTTTCGGTCGTGAGAGATATTTATTCTTTCTGAATTGGTTTTCTAATTCTAATAGTTGTTGACTAGTGAACGCCGTCCTCGGCCTCCGCGTCTTGCCAAGCAGATTTGGCGTGTGTTGTCCTGAAGCAAAAAACAAAATAACATTAAATTAAACAAAATATGAGCGATGGCATCACTCAAAATACGCACATCAATGTTCCTATTCCTCCAATCCAAAATACAAGAAATAATTAGAGTAGTTACGTAAATAAATTCGCGTCAAAACCAATAAAAAATTGCTATAAGTTTTCTCCGCAGACGACTATTAAAATAAGTGTGAAATTTAAGAGCGAACAACTGCTCGCATCCTCAGCGGGGTGAGTAAGTAACAGCAGAATGCGCTCGGTAAGAGCAATCAACCTAATTAATAACGCCGATTTCTTCATTAAAATAATAGCTATACAGTGAAAGGCCCAGAAGTGATTTGGGCTTGCTAAATCCCGCCGAAACACGCGACAAATGAGGCGTGTAAGCAGATTGCACGTTTAAGTGTACGGGACCGTTATACGAGGTAGCAGTCTATGCTGTCGATTGAATGGCAACAATAGGTAGTTATTGGCTACTAGAACTCTTCTAATACATAGGTAGCTAATTTCTTTGACGTTTGATTAAAACGATATGATGTGATGTATAAACATTGTGGCGTTCATTCTTTGAGCGCCATAATTTTCCCGCCCAAAATTAGTATCAACATTTTATACCTTTGTATGTATTCTAAAAAAAAAAATAGTTTTGTACCAAATGGACGTTATTTTGCTAAATAAACTGTGCCTGCATATTTCAAATTTGTGAACAGAAGAATCTACTAGATGTTTCTCTAGGGCTTGCTGTAAAACTACTGACAGTCACCATGGGGTAAAATACTCATTTAAGTCAAATTATCGAGAGAACCATTCAGTTACTCCCAGAAAAAAGAACATTTTTCCTCTTTGTACGTTGCAATGACGTGCATCCACTTAACGAAAAAGCAAACAGGTCTGATGGTACGACGACATTCATTTTCAATATCGAACTTTTCTTCTCGTGTCGTTGTTACGGAGACTAGCAAGTTTTAGCTGTTATACACGACATTATTCTCATTTCTCACACTTCACACATTGCAACTCTTTTAAAAAATGCTGTTTCTAGAACACATAAAACGGTGAACTTAAGCAGAAACTTTTAAATAAAAATTAAAAAAATGTGATGATTTATGCTAGTATCAGTTTATGATCATAATTCCCGATCACGTGACCACCCGTTTTAAAATAATTGGACGTATTCGTATATTACGTTGGTGGTTAAATTAAAGATGTGGAATATACCGCTAATAATAGTATGACAGTGGATGTCTGGTGGCGTACACTCCCCCTTTTAAAGCAATTGCGTTTTATAGCTTCTCTCCTTGAGGCGTTGTGGCGCATCGTATGTGGGACCCCGGAAGTAACGGACACAATCGAGAATTCTTCTTTGTTGTCACCAACTTCTGTGTCGGAGCATGCTATACTAACGGATGATTGTCCATTCGTTGTCAAATCGGATAGGTCACAGAAACATAAATAAAAGGGGGGAAATGAACACGTGTACAAAAGTTACGTATGTCTGATTTTGATCGGTTAGTGGACTACTCAGCCGACAATCAGTAATTTCAACAATGCCCCCGGGCGCTAATTTTTTAACGGCGTCGCATGATGGAGTAAAATAAGCAAACGAGTGAAATTAAATAGAAACCTTTTCTCTGCGTAAAAGTACAATTTAAGTGTCACACGCGGCCTTGGATATGTACGGTAATTGGAAGAAATAAACAAATGTCCACTCTCGTCATACGATAAACTAGGATATGTCAACGAATATTAATAAAAAAATGTAATTTGATTGAATAATTTGTTTAGATTCGATTCAATATATATTTGACACGAGTCCATCGCTTTTTTGTCGTTATTAGTTGAAAAAAAAACTTTGTGGACCAAAGTACACCGAGCAAAAATTCAAATGATAGTATTTGATAATAAAATGGTTTCCGTGTGGTGATTATCAAGCAGTACGTCTTAAACGGCGTGGTATAATCCGAAGAATAGCGGTGAATTTACATCCATCAGCGGAACTGTACAACTTGGCAATTACGTCGCTCTTTGGGAAAAAATCTCCGATATAATGAAATTTACTTTTCAATACAATTTCCACCAATGTTGTTTAAATTCCGTCCAATCAGTTAATCGTCATAATAAGCAAACACATTTCACTTGGCGTCGAAAGCAAAACTCCACTAAATCTGAATTAGAGGTTGTTTTTACTTCCCCGATAATCTAATTTTATCCTCCGTTGCTATTTTGCGAACATTCTCAGCGTCTGAATCAATCAGTTAATACGCTGATATGTCAATACAAAATTCTTCTTGAGTTGGGCTGATCATTTTGTGTGTGCGCATTAAGGCTTGTTCGGTTGCTCCCCAGAGGGGTACCAATTCCACCGAGAGGCGTCTTAATCAGTGCGCTGTACTCGGTGAACCGACTTCTCTGTTTGGTTGTTCATTTCACTGCGCTCAATAGATAACTCAATTAGCAGCGAGAAAGCTCTTGCTTTTGAATTGGTTTCGACATTCTAAATTATCCCTATTATGCGCTCAACTCATCGATTACTCGGCTTTAATGTCTTGAATAAGTACTATTAATTCAGTTGGCGGCACCCTCCCCCTTTCATCCCCGTGAGGATGATCATTGTGTTCTGAGGGGAGGGGCAAGTGAAAAACATACGTATGATATAGTTGTGTATCAATTTATAAAAATAGATTTTTGGAGAGATTAGCAAACTGTTGTAATTTGATTCGATCATACTTAGTTAAGCAGTGTAAAACGATTTTCCAAACAAATTTTGATGAAACGAAACTCGACAAAGCACCAATAGTTAATATCGAATGTATTAGTATTTTATTTCGTATTAGCAACGACCATATTTACAAAAGTATAACTTCGAAAAGACGAGCGGGCACTGAGTGTCAACAAACTTCAAATCAACAAACTTTGCGAATAATGCACTACGATTAGTTGCACATATCTATACTTATATTAGCAATACCCAAACTGGCCAACGCAATAATTATGAACGCGACATTCCCATGGCAGGATGACGATTATGACTCCCCGGCGTCAAAAATAATCAAATGAAGTTTCGAACTTGTGAAGACTACGCTCTGTTTAGGTGAGTTAGTAGAGTTGACCCCTCTCGGGCGCTATCGACGAATTGGTATGAAATCAACAATTACTGTAATCAGGTAAGATCAATTGCATAATTCATTAAAAAGCGTAGTCAGTATGATGATGATGATGTGTCCCTAAACGCTTGATAACTTGGGCGTCAACGTTATTAACAAAATTGCACGAAATAAACCACTGTGACGCAATACAAAAAAGGGGAAAAAAGTTGCCGATTTTCTGGCAATTCTCACGGCAATGTGTGGGCGGAGAGCGAATTAGAACCTCGATCGCCAATATATGGCATAAGGTGTACGCTGTAGTTAAAATAACATTCAAAAAATACACAGCGTGTAGAATTACCGATCACACGGCACGAATTTTTACGAAGTTCTGCTTAAAACGGAAAAGTGTTACCCGATCCCCGAAACACGCAGTATTGGTTCAAGCCAAGGCAAGTATATAAAAGAGCAGTTTTTCTTAATTGGTGCCCGTTTAATAACATTTGTATGGAACTGTTTAATCTCTTTCGTCTTGAGTCTGAATCATTGCGGAAACGGATTGTGGTGCCCATGGAGTGGATTTCACTTCTCTGTTTAGATTTCACTACCAATTAACAATAATGAAAGGCGATGATGAAATTAAATTATAAATTTTGAGTGATCAAAGCGACTAATTAAATAAATAAAAGAGGCAATCAGAATCAATATCATAGAGTTAGCCTATTAGTGATATCGACTCTCAGCTCGAGCTTACAGTCAGTAAAATGCAGAAATGAGCGGGGCGCCCGGCGGTTTCCAACAATTGGGTTGGCTTTAGGCGTAGGGTTGAACTCAATTACTTACACACTATCGAGAAGGAGGGTAATATTTGTACGAGGCCCTATATTGTTTTTAAGTTCCTTCAAGATACTAGTAGTTAGACCCCGCCAAGCCAGGTCGAGAATAAAACCGATCGCGGGGAACTTTTTTCTCTACTAGGCATTCACCATTCATCGCGACAAGAGAAAAAAAAAACACCAGCTTGTATGTTATCGGCTTCATTTCCCTCAACAGCCGACTAATCTGTATATTGCAACAAATTTTCATCAGGGCCTGCAGATTAATGTAATTAAGGGCATTCGGAAACGCCGCCATCCTGACTTCACTCTCGTTTCCCACTTGTTCGGCGCTCATCCCTTGCTCATTAATATTCATCAATGGACGGCGATTGCTTTGAAATTGAAGATTTTCGTGTAAACTTTCTTTCTTGATGGGTACAATCTGGCGCGGAGCGTAATCAACGCACAGTCCTATGCATAGCAATATGCGATCGGCGGTATTAATGTCGATCCACTTACCGATTGTCCATGCAACTAACTCCATGATAATTCCTCATTACCGCTTAATGGCGATCCGGTAGACGAACAAAATAGCCTACTAAAACTAATGTTATAAAATAAAAGACATTTAGATAAACTCAGTTTTATTCATCGAAAAGTGGGACAAATCCACCGGATATTAAAATGTTATCAAATCTGGAGTTTTTACGGACGTGTACTTATTTAAAACATGGTGGTTTTCACGAATCATGCAATACCGCCAATTATAATAATATTTCACAAAAGCATTGAGTATGAATGAAACAACACGACAATACGGGGATTTTTTTCTGGTTGCAACCCGGGTGACAAACTAATTGAGAGAAAACTGGCTCAATGATGAACACTGATTGGCCCAGTACGATAACCGTTGGCAATCCCCGGGCCGTTTTTTTAGAACCGAGTCAGGTGTGTAGCATTAACGAATTTGTACTTATGGACAGAAGCATATACTAGTACTCAATACCATCTCCGAATGACGATATCAGTCAGTGCGCAGTAAATATGAACGTGAAACGAGGGCTATCATAATTTGATGTTTATTTGTGTCA